TAGGGTTGGCTGCGATAGCGAAGGGGATGGAAAGTCTTCAGGGCCATGGCCCTGGTCCAAGAGCAGACTTGTAATGGCAGTCGCATATTGTTGAAGCGCTCCCTCGAGGAAACTAGCTTCGTGTCTTGAAGGTGTGGGAAATGTCGTTGTGAGTGGGCTATTACGTCGTCTTGTAATACGCGTCCCGGAAGTTGTAGTCTTTGAGGGTCTTGACTGTGACAAATTTCCCACGTGATGGGCTGGCAATCGGCGGCGGCGCCTGCGACCATTCTGTCGAATATCACAACTATGATCTCGTTTGGGAGATGGGGAAGGCAACGAGACTCCTCCACTACGTCCGAAGTCTTTTGCGGCGTCATTGTCGCAGGCGAATCAATACTCAGGAAGCGTAAAGTGATGTGGTAGTGATGATACTGTATGAGAAATTTGTGATGATGGTGTGTTGCCTCTAGAATTTCTCAGCGTTTGTCAGGTAGGATAGTAGCCATAATATCTGTAAAACCGATGGCTTCAGAGACGGCAGATGAAGAACCTTGAGTGTTCCACCGACACTGGACTCGAACAACTTTTTCTTTCGATCTTCGAAAGAAAATTTTGTCATGAAATGTTGATGCTCTGACGTTGAAGTCGGGAAAAGACGGACAAAGACTTTCTTTGCCGACCTTTCAAGCATGGGTTTGAAAACCAAAGGATCGTACGCCTACACGACCAGGCGTCGGGCTTTGAATTCTTTGTTTGGTATCTATGCTTAGAAGAAAGGAGAAGAAAGGGAAATTCTCAAGCACAATATTACTCCAGACTAACTAACTTGGCCCTCTTCAATATGTGTGAGGCATTCTGCAAAAGTAGAATCTCGTTGTCCGAAACTCCCTCACCACCATGTTCATGACGCCGTGGTTCCAAGAGCTTACTCCGTGCTCCGTAGCCACAGTGACACAGAATCATCTAGTATCGTTCCCAATATCCTGTTCGCATCACAGTATCATCCAACCTGACAAGAATTTACAATCTTTGGTCTCATCTGGAGTCAAGTATTTCATTTTGAAGCCTGCGGTCGTCTGAATGATCTCTGCACCACCCTCGCCATCCGTGACGTACAATCGAACTTTCTTTTTCTCGAGAAATTCCCAATTAGACATGCCATCAAATTTTGATGTTAAGAGTTGCAAGTCGAGACCTATTCTGTCGTCAATCTCTACCGGCTCGCTCGGGCGAGGGCTTGGTAGAGTCGATGGTGAACGGCGACTCCAATAATATCTCCATGGTTCGAGGTGACAGACTACTTTCCTAAGATTTGGTAGCAACGACAGAGCAGTACAGAAATTGACTGGCTGATTCTGGAAGTATCTACTACCAGGTTCCGCACTGGTGGGAAGGATGATGTTTTGCACTTTCTGTAGGAGTCGAATGCCCTCCAGATTTGCTTCAAAGTATTTGTCTTCCATGGAAAAAGCGTCGATTTCAGGCAACGCCCATCCGTAGGTGGGCTCTTCACCCCGTGATATCTCCGCTCGGATTAACCTTTGACGAACCATTTTTTGACCCGTTCTGTTGATCTGCGAGGGAAGTCTGAGGCTTGCGAATCTCTTTCGAATTTTGTGAGACATTCTTCCGTGGTCGCTGGCGTCTAGGGCGATGAGGCTTCTAATCAAATAAGTCCGTTCCCAGAAGATTGGACATGCGGACTGCACAGCTTCTGATATGAGGATATCGATGATGGCCATAAATATCCTAGAAGGCAATGAAGCCGGGCCAACGGGGCGGGTTTCGCTCTCTTTTTCGTCTTTTGTTGCCGACAAGCATTGTGAGCATGTGCATTCTGGATTTAGGAACTTGATACTTGGACTTTCCGCATCAGGGTCATCCGAAGTATTGTAAACCTCAAAGGTAGAGAGTCGACTATCTGGTACTTTTCCGTATACTCGTACGCTTCGACGGCCGAACGGATTCCAAAATGACCCAAACTTGGTCTTTTCGGGGAGATGATGGTCGCTCCATTCGGGAAAATTGTCGGCATCCATAGGAATCATACCGAGAAGGCATTTGGTATCACTCATCTCGATGGTGTCAATGAGGCTTTTCCCATTGAAGATGACTTCTTTCAGTTGCAGCAGATTCTCAACAACTTCGAGAATAGTCATGTTGAATTCCAGGATATGAAATCGTCGAATTTGTTGCATGAAAGCGTGGGCCTCAAAAGTCGGGAGATATATCAATGAATCGAGGAGGCTTCTAAAGTAATAACTTTCCACTTTGGGTACCCGGAATAGATCAACGTAAGGTAGGACGAAGATGTCAGGGCCCGTTCTCTCAAGATAAAAATGCAGCGAGGAAATCGGTATGAAGACCCTACTAGTGAGCTCTCTGCATTTCTTGTTGATCTGTAAAGGAATAGAGATGTTTCGGAATCGATGGATGCTGAGCGGTCCAGGGTAACCCACGTCGCCAGTGAGAGCGAGCCGGAAGTTCGACGGAGCGTCTTCTGCGTACTCTAACCGCCACTCAATGGCCCGTGAAGAAGCTTTCGCATCTGCGAGGAAGGCCTCAATGATGGCAAAAAATATCTCGGTGGGGATAGAGTCAGGGCCGGCGCAACCTGGAAGCGCCGGACGAATTTGATGAGGAGACATCCTTGGATGACATAGATTGGCTCGAAGAAAAGTAAGTGGTAAGAAATCAGATGAGAACGAAGTAGAAGCTTAAAGTGATTTTGGAAGAAGCGGGAAATCTGAAAGGAGGAGGAATGCCCCTCCTTTCCGGAATGAGGGAGGATGCACCATTTCGCGGCAAAGATTTCTACCCTTTTGGGCCTTATTCTATCCGACATATTACAGGTACCTGGAGGGCAATGTCTGCTGCCTTGAACAAACGATGACTGACTTTGGAGCTGCGGAGCCGCAAACCTTCGAAAGGGACCAAAGACTAGTGCCAGAGGCGACAGAAGGGAGGAAGCACCAGGAATATCAGCGGGCACAAATGATAAGAGAGCCCCAGCCACCTACCTGTTGGGGTCACAAGGCAATCAATTTGGTGTATTATGCCTATAAGCCGTTCCGTCCTCACAAATAATACCTTACATCGTACAGAGCATGTTTGAGATTAATCCGCAGTGAAAGCATGAACAGAGGAGTAGGAGGTAGTGAAATTGCGCTAAACGTTTGGCCAAATTAATTATATTTTCCACGGCCTACTCATTGCTTTCGACTTTGATCTGAACTGATAATGTATACCTCGCCCGAGACGCGGCAATCCCAGAGTCCGCGGGTTCATCGTAGCTCAATATCTCGTACAAGTACAAATGGCTATTCTGAAGCTTCAACTCTCCTTGTCATTATACTCAAGGTCGGAGGGACAGCAGAAGCAGTCGGGGAAAAGGTGCTTCACGCGGATACCGTCCTTGGTGATTTTCATCTCCATAACAGCCGGCTTGATATCATCCCTGAACGCAAAAAGCTCAATCTCACGTCTCTTAAACGGAAGCCACAGCTTGCGGAAGGCACGACCGTGTCTCTCCTCCCAAATCTTCATATCCGGGTACCGGTGACCCTCGACCTTCATCCAGCCTGGGTGAATCGCCAGGAGCTCGGGGTCATCGTACATGGGCACGGAATAGCCGGCGATAATGGAGACCGTCTGAAGGCTCGGGAGCGTTGACATCGCGGCGACGGCGACCTTGTTGTTCTTCTGAAAGAAGCGAAGTGTCGGGAGGAAGACGTGCTGGACGCCGCTCAGGAAGTCGTGGCCCAGGGGAGTGGGGAGCTGAATGGCCGACGAGCATTTTGTCTCGCGTATGGGACGGGCTCCTTCGGTGTCGTTGAAGTCGGGCGTGAAGAGGTCAACGTCAGGGCGAACCCAGGCGTCGACAGCGGAGAGGGGCGAGTAGTATGAGTGGTTCTTCTTGACGGGCATGCGACGGAAGTGGCGATGTACCATGGAGCGCGTCTTCTTGTCGATTTGGAGGGGAAGACGAATGCTCTGGAAACGGTCGAGTTCGCTCATCTCAACCATCTCGGAGCCGACGTTATGGCCTCTGATCCGAAGGACGAGCTTGGTCGGGGCGTCGTGGTGGTAGTCGATGACCCATAGGACTGAGCGGTTGTCGGCGAGAGCGTTTTCGAGGTAAGCATCGATGATGCTGAGAAAGATCTCGCGGGGCAGATCTGCAGGACTTAATTTGCCTCGTCGGATAGTGGATCGCGATATGCCGGCGAAGGAGGCTGTCGAGAGGACTGTTCGGTCTGCGAGGCGAACTTGACCGCCTTCTCCTTTGGTGTTTGACAAGCCTGCTGGCGAAGATGAAGCAACGATGTCAGACGCCATTGTATCTAGATGAGGAGATTTAGCAAATGAAAAGTGGTAGTGAGTGCGGCGAGTTGTCTACTTACCTTCCGACCGCCAGAATTGAGGATCTGACGGTGTTTTGTCGAATCCTTCTCAACACTCCGACCTCAATGCTAGAAGAGGGTGGAAAAGGAAAGAAGGGATGAGTCGAGGTAGGAAGATTAGGACTTTGAGAAGATTCGGTTTCATGTGAGTAGCCGCTTAGTCGTCATGTTGGGCTCTGTTTGTTTGTCCGCCTGCATACTCACTCTTGACTCAAGGTGCAGGATCAGGCCTATGGCAGATTGACCAACCACAATACGGATCAACGTCCTGTCACATTTTTCTCAGAAAAGCTGAGGCTTCATGAAAGGCCCTGAACTGGAGACAACGACATACATACTCGGTGAACATGTGCAAAAGAAACCGAATCACCTTCGATGAACTGTGCATGGGACAAAGACTTTGGTATTTCCTCATTACGACTTCTCATGAGCCAGCGTGTTGAACAACCTGAATTCTCAGTACGTCCTTCTATGATAGACTGATTCTTGGGGCGAGAGCTACCCCAACTGCCACACCAGTCTTTCCGTAACCACAAAGCTGGGTATCTATCCTCCTTCCAAAAGACAAGTGTGAATCCATCCCTTTGTACCATTCGTGATCCGCCAACGTCAAAGTCAGATTGCCAAAGATTCCAAGACCTGCTTCATGCGCTCTCTCAACTCTTCGACGGCTTCGTCGGCCTGAGGCTGAATGTATGTGATCATGATCTTGTCACGACTTGGGTGTAACTCCATGATGGGGCGCTGGTCATTGTCGATGACCCCGAAGAGCTTGACTCCTCGTGCTTCAAGATGACCGGCCCATAGAGTTCTGAGTGCTTCAGAGTCCTGAGTGCAGAATTCTGCAAGGCGCGGAAACTTCTTTGGGTCGACCTCATGGAGACCTGGCTTCATTCTATTGTGAAGTTTGCCAAATCTTCCAACGTTGACTGTGATTGACTTGAGGTTAGGGAGTCTGATCAGGGTTGAAAGGGACTCCTTGTTTGCAGTGATGAGGTAGCGCAAGCGCAGAAGAAAGATCTTTTCGATGCGAGAGAGGAGGGCGTAGCCAGAAGCAGAGGGCAGAAGCACAGCTTGGTTGTAGATGAACTGTTCGGCCTCGCGGCCTTCTTCCAGAGATGTGAAGAAAGGGACGAACTCGTCTGTGACAGGGACGTATGCTTTGACTGGGCAAAGTTGGCGACTGAGTCCGTCGGGAGTGGCGACCATGAATGGGAGTCTGGTAAAGGTCTTCTCGGTCATGCGTCGGGACTGCTGGTTGATCTGCGAGACAAGGCGAAGCTTCTGGTAGCGCTTGTAGGTCACGGAATAGGGCTTGTCCTCTAAAATGTTGACATCGTTGAGGACCAGCTTGGTGGCCAGGCTGTGATTGTAGGCGAGAGACCAGACCTTGGTATCGTTGCTCTTTGCCATATCGATAAGCTGTTCAACAACGTGAAGAAAGACCTCGTATGGCACACTAGCCTTCATCTGAGGGCGCTTATTCACCGCTGCGACAACAGAAGATGGGAAAGGGTCTGCCATGATGGCGGTGATCGTTGTGACTGGTGGTGGTTGAGGTGTGATAATATTGTGATATTGTTGTTGCTGTGGTAATGGGTACGGTCGCGGCAGTGAAAGTGAGAGAAAGGGAGAGTGGGAAGAAATGGATAAGCAGGTGAGTATTTTATACCACAGCAATAGGGAATTTTCGAATTGTAAAGAGGAAGGTGCAGCTCACTCAAAACAAAAAGGAAGGAGCAGGAAAATTGTGAGTGTGATTCAATGTGTTGAAGAGGAGGCTTCCGGGACCGAGAAGGACGACAGTGGCTGGACGAGACGAGAGACATACTAAGAATCATCGAGGCCATTGAAGCAAGGCTGTTTACAACTGGGATATGATGCCTCTTTCAAGATGAGTAAGGTAAACAAACAATTGGCAGTCTTTTCCGCGAGCCCTTCGGCCTATTGACATGGTGTGACGATAGCTTCACCTCAGAGCTTGAGATGGATTATAAGCCGAGGACTGCCACCGTCATAAAATCACTATCAATCTTACCCTCTGAACTTGCCGAAAGTGTACCATGCGGCCCTCCATATTGTACATGCGTCGGTAATCAATGCTATGGTAGAACGCGACTGGAAATTTGCATCTGGTCTTACCGTCTGTTATTTGGGCTGGCCGTGGACGGTGACAACTTTCTTAGACAAAAAAACAGCATTTTCTGATCGGACCATTGTAGCTATATCTCATGATGATATCACTGGTGCAATGAATTGAGACTTCATGGAGTTTACGAATGAGTATTGTGATTCATACGAACGACTAGCTGTCTGAGGCCCAATCCTCCCACTTGTCATCTCTTCGTATGAGCTGAATGATACCCCTTGTGTACAATCGAACAGGAGCCAGTATCGTGGAACTCTGAATAACGCGAGTACGCAATAAGGAGGCGGGAAACCTCGTGTCCATAACCATCACAGCCACTGCACTAAACGCTACGGAATTCGCCTCCGCGAGCCAGATCATCGCGACTGAGCATGTTCAGCTGACCATCGTTGTCAGCCTTCATGGCAAGAATGACCGGGTGACGCTGATTATCGTAGCAATGACAGACGGGGTCGAGGAATTTCATGCGGACGCTGCCATCGTTCTTTCGAATGAGCTCGAGAAGCTCCACGTCGCCGGCACCAGGCGCGTAGCACACGAGCTTGATGCCCTTCTGCTGCAGCTTGGCCCATACAGGCTTCATCTCTTGACGGTACTTGCGCTCCCACTCGATAAGTGACGGGAACAGCCTGCTGTCGAGGGGAAGTTCCGAGTTGTGCTGGTGGCGCTTTCTTTTGGGGGTGCTGAGGATGCGGATGACGCCAACGTCGATGGCGACTTGCTTGAGGTTGGGCAGCTGAAGGATGGCCTCGAAGTCCTTGCCATAGGCGTAGCGGTACAACTCAGTGATGAAGATGCGGACGCTCTGAATGGAGTGGGTGATGAGACAGTTGGCGGGGCGAGGTCTCATGAGAGCGGCATAGAGGTGCGGGATGCTCTCCCGCTCGCCCACGAAGATGAGGAAGTGGTCTCTGGTGGGACAGATCCAGCCGACACGCACGAAGCCGGGCTCGGCGCCTTCGACGTAGATCATCTCCCGGGGGCGGAAGAGGAGCTTGAACTTGATGCGGGAGCGGCGGTCGATCTGGTTGAGAATGCCGACGATGCGGAAGCGCTTGCGCTGGGGGGCGCGGTTACCGAGCGCGGCGTAGTCGACTTGGTCGAAAACCGTCAGGCCAGACTTGGCATCAGGCGTGGGGTCACGGGAGGTCCAATAGAGGATTGAGTCGGTCTTTTGCTCGGCCTCCTTGAGGAGGTGGTCGAAGACGAGCTCGAAGACCTTGTGCTTGGGGTCTTTCGGGCCCTTGACGACTGGAAGAACCTTGCCAAGAGATGACATATCCATGGACGGTGCCATCTTGGCGTCTGGAGTGGATGTCGAGGCACTCATCGCGATGGTTGGAAGCCTCAGAATCGGTTGGAGACTTTTCGTGTGCCTGAGTGGAAAGTGTATGAGAGAAGAAGAGAAGGAAAGCTGATTGAAGAGAGGTAAATAAGTAAAAAAGAATAGAGACGTGTGAGGAAGAAACCAGGCGAAAGTCTCTTTTCCATTGCTTGCAAACAGTAGCCGTCAATCTATTCAGACGTGCGGGTAGCCGAAGGAGCGGTATGAGTTGAAGCGGAGGTGGTTTGTTTGTGGTCAATCAATGCGGGAGTCGGGAGATGTTCAGTCATGCTTGATCGTACGGCCTTGACTCTGCTTCGCCTCCCGTACCGTATTCGTCACAGTGCTATCCTGAAATAGTATCAGTGCCAAGTACTTTGAGACTCAGGTTCTGGCCAGCCCTGCTCTGGAGGAAGATGGAATGAACTTCCATGGTAGCAAGAAAGTGAGTCCTTGATTTTGGTGTGTGAGAGGGAATCACCATTACGACAGACGAATTGGGGGAAGGTTTAGAAGGAAGATGCCATTGAAATGTGTTTTGAGGCGAGAGCAATTCACAAAGGCAAGAAGCAGTGTATAGTGTCAACTTAGGTATTATTAGATGAAGTTGTGATCGCTTAAATCCTTTATCAACCTTTCTGTGTGACTTTCGCCCCTTTTGTTACAAAGAAATTGAGTCCTCTACAGACTCAAGATTAATCTCCTTTGTAGTTGCCCGAATCTGCGGCAATTTGTTCACACTTCGACTTTGAAGCACATTGGTGACGCTCGCCTTCTTCTGCGGGGGGCTACTGAAGAAGATATCATCAAACAACTTGTTCGAGAACCGGGTCTTCAGATCCTCCAGAGTCCACCCGGCCTCCTTTCCAATATCCGCCATGATCCCGAGGAACTCTTGAATCTCAGCCCTGTAGTCCTCGTTCTTCATCTTCTCGAGCCACGGCCTGCCGTTGACGCTGAATTCCTTCCACTCTTTGGCCCAGTGAGGTCGCGTCTTCAACAGTTTCTGAGTATTAGGATCTTTGAGAGCCATCCAATTGTCAAGAACCTGCTGAGCGAACGGCACCCAGATATCCGAGGCCGCGTGGAGAGTAAGAACCTCAATGGAACAGGTGCCCAACTCGTTGCCGCGCTGAGGCGCCATCACGACGTTACTTCCTCCCATGATCCTCATCTCCAACGGCATACGCATAGGGCACTTTTGACGGTTCTCTTTCGTATACGCAGTAAGAATCGCATCCCACCAAGCGCGCTGGACAGGGGCATAGTCAATCTCTACAGGCTCATTAGGTCCAAACGTCTTGCCGCCTTTAGCCACGAGAGGGATCTCGACCTCCATGTCGCGCACGCGGACGTTCTGGATCGCGCGCTGGAAGTGCAGCGCGTCGGGGACGTAGGTCGTGACCTCCTTGTCCGGGAGAGCCAGCATGGCGAAGCGGGAGATGAGGGTTACGGCCGCCTCGGTGAAGCAGACTTGGTTGACGAGCTTGTCGAGGAGCGTGGTGTTCTGAAGCACGTTCATCGTGAAAGTCTGCACGAAGGAGAGGAAGATGTGGGCGTCGTCGGGGAAGTTCACGACGCCGGCGCTGTTGGTTGTGTCGTTCCAGCAGTTGACCCAGACTTTGTCCGAGTACGGGAACCAAAACCACTCCGAGTAAAAGTCGTTTGTCGCGCGGTCCTCAAAGATCTCCTGATATCCCCGCCTCTCTCCCTCGGTTAGGTTGCGCCAGGGGTCGGCGAGCGTAGCTGGGAGCTTAGACAGGTCGAGGTCCGCGGGCGGAGGCACGGCCAGCGCGACGGAGACCTTTTCGGGCTTCAGGCGAGCGTAGGTCATGGGCGACATCTCGAGTGTGATGTGCGTGACGACGCCCATCAGTCCGAAGCAGCCGCTCGCGGCTCGGAGGTGCTCGGGCCTGATGACTTCCTGCGGCTCTCCGTGGCAGTCGACGTACTCGATGCGACGGACGAGATCGCTGAGGGTCTGGTGGCGACGGCCGGCGCCGTGGCAGATTGGGGCGTTGGAGCCACCCAGGGTGATTTCCACCATGATGACGTTCATGGGCATCGTAACGGTCTTGTTGTCAATGCACCATCGGCGGAGTCTCTCGTTTGTGCAAGCGGTGCCGACCCTGACGAGGTAGTTGCCGTTCTCGAGGGGCTTTTCGGAGACCATGCTGATTGTCTGGAGGTCGTTGGCGGCGGACTCTGGGAAGGGTAGAGCCGTAATGTTGGGCAGCTTGGTGACCTCGTGAAGGCCAAGGAGGGAAATGAGAACATAGCCGTTCTCTGCGAAGACCGGGGACCACGAGTGACCTGTTGAGAGAAATCAGATATTGAGCGAGCAAATAGGGACATGCTGAAACTAACGGAAACCTGAGCACCGCACGCCCATGTTGTGCGCCTTGGCATACTTGACGATGAGTTGGACCTCTTGAGATGTCTTTGGCACACATGTGAGAGCTGGAACGTTCTTCACGGTGAGACCCCAGTTCTGGAACTCCGTCTTGTAGTATACCTGACGACTAGTTAGGCATATCGTTTGTCGAGATAAATCATTCGAGCGAGTACTTACTACGATACCGGCTCCTTGGAGCTCATTCTTATTACCCTCGAAGAAGTCCTCCATCTTGGTCAATGTGTTTTGAAGAAGCGCTCTCTCCTTAACAGCAAGCTTATGGATAGGCTCCTTAAGCTTCTTGATACCCCGCGCGCCAACCTGGATAACGCAGTCCGCCTCATGCAGCCTCGCCAGCTCCTCCCGGCACCCCAGACTGGGACCCATCTGGAAGCCGTTGCCGATCTTCTTGGGGTCATCGCCGGCGAGGAATCTCTTGATACACTTTTGCTCGTCGTCAGTATGCTTATGGAGAATGTTGGAGAATGCGCCATCGGTTTCCGAGTCCTTGAAGACCTGGAGAAGCCTGCGGAGGAATTGGACGTAGTCGACATCTATGTCTGTGTTGATGTAGTCATCGAGAAGGGCTTGTAGACCTGGGACTTCCTTTTTGCTGAATTTGGGGTTGTTGTGGAGGCCCTTGGCAATGTGCCCGA